ATTCTAATGCAACAGTTATGTAAGTCTTGAAGATTTTGAAAAGATATCGCACAAATTTTGCGAGTTAGAGCACCATTTTTGTATAGCAAAAGCATATGATACCAACATAAATATTTAGCAAACATTCATGGGAGTCAGGAACACTATCTCATTGAAGTATGCTTTCAAAATAACCTTGCTTCAATTAGGACTTTTGAAGGTTGTAACGTGGCCTGATTCATGGTTTTTAGAAAAAAGATTTTTAAGGCTCAAAATTTATAGGTGCCCACCCATTATTCGTGATGTTCTCCAACCCTATGTTCAGTTAATTCAACATGAGTGTTCATCTCTCAAAAGGATTTTTAACATTAAGGAAATGACGAGGCTTTCGGAGTAGCAGCCACCCTTATGTCTTCGTGTTTGTAGTCACACCAATTTGTTCTTTGCTGAGGACTTTTCTTTGTATTCCTTTCTTTGCAATTTTTTGTTTTCCCTAACTTTTGCCTGAACTAATTCTTTTGAATTTATAGTCCAGGGGGATGCCCTAATATTTTCCTAAGTCGCACGTTTTCAAGTTTTCGACGTAGCAGGATTTTTCTTTCTTTTTTTTTTTTCTTGATTTTTTTGATTTTTGAACAAAACATGTGACATTAGCTTGTTTTTACTTGTTGAGAGGATTGTGACTGCATCGTTTCTTGATGAATAAGGGATAGCATTGTGGTTCCATATCTTATGGCTTCATTATACATGAAGGATATCCCTCGCAGTTCTCTTCAGAAATATCTTCCTTATGAATTTTGAACACTCAATCAGATTAACTGAAAACTACCCTGCCCCGGGTTAAAATTTGAGGGTTTTTTCGTATAGAAAAGAAACTCCTACTTCAAGGCTAAAAAGGGGTTAGCAAGGGATTATTTTCCTTATATCTCTGGTGTTTAGGGATTTGAAATAATACATGTACATCGTCAGCAGGATTTTATTCAAAAAGCATACAACTAGAGATTTTGTGTTTTTTAGACCATCATCCTCCCTTCAATCTCTGCCTAGGCAAGAGAATGGGAAACAAGTTGGTATCATAATGCAAAAATAAATTTAAAATTTGAAAACAAATACGAGTGAAACAAATGAATTTCTTCAAGGCAAATATACTTATTGTATTAAGATAATCATTCAAATGCAAACAAGTTCTTACATGCAAACAGTGCAATGATAAACAAGAAAAAATACAAATGAAAAAGCAAGAAAAATGATAATTAAACTGAGAAGACTCTCTTCTTTAAAATCCAAGGTATCCTTCAATCATGTTTATTCTTTGGTAAAGATTTGACTTGAATCACAAGACTAATATCCTTAAATGACAAGATACTATTTCTGACCAACTTCTGAAAATCAAACTTCAAAGCAAAGCAACCCTCCAAGTCATTCGCAAGAGCACCTTGATGAAAGGCACAAGTCAAATCAGCTTTATAGTATTAATGTATCTTCTCAGGAACCTTCAGTGGAGGTCTGATATGAACCAAATTCCTCTGCATCAGGATAGGAAACAACTCCGTATAGGTTGTTGGAATTGGATTGAACTGAATTTTCCTCTGATCAGGAACTTGTTGATTCTGTTGATGAACTGGAGCTGTAGAAGGTAAATTGAACACAAAGATGATAGAAGAAACATGATGATTCTGACAATGATTATTTCTTCCTTTGGTTCTCTTCTTGGAAAAGTTAATATCAAACTTCTTCACACCACTAGCTGAGCCACCATCTTCATATAAACATCTCTTTTGGATATCTTCTTCTAGATGCACTCCCACATTCACCTTGTCAAGAAAGTCACTAGGTGCATTAATCATCATCTTCTCATGAAAGAATGATTTCAGAGTTTCAGTGAAGACCTTTTCCATCGCTTCTTCCTTCATAGAAGGATTAGCTTGGGCGGAAACCAAAATTTCAACCAAACCAGTTAAGTGCTCCATACTAGCTTTCAAAGTAATCATCTCTCTGTGGAGTTCAGAAACCTCTTACTTGATATTCTCCATTGTTCTCCTAGCGCGAGTATTGTACTGGTTAGACCAAAGGAAAAATAATAATTGGAAATGACCTTTTAAAGTGAAACAAAAAAATTGTAGAATGATGCATCATATGTAAATGTGAAAGAGAGTTTTTATTTGATCTTCAAGATATTAAGTTGTAAACATCAAAGTATGAAGATAGAAGAATAATTTTAAATTGGATCAAAACATTGATCAAGTTATCCTCAAGATCAATCATCCATTTTGGTGGATTAGGGTTTCCACCCCATCAACACCCAAGATCCATTGGGCTTGACGAAACTTGTGATGTTTACAATGAAAGACTTTCAAATTCCTTGAAAATAAAGTGAAAAGGGGTTTCATGGGTGCATGAAGGCATGGCTATGCAACAACCACAAGCGAGGTCACAAACAAATTCAAAAGGTTCAACGTCACGAGCATGAAGTCAAATTAAGAACCACCCCAAGGTATGTACTAAAGATTTAATCACACCTGTAAAACAAAGTTCTAAAATTTCCCAGAGTCTACATTCCTCCTTCGGATATTACTAATGTCCCGATTACTTGGTAATTAGAAATATTCTCAAGAGAAACTCGTCTGAGCGTAGCATCACGTGACACCTACTTCCAAATTACTCCATTGTAGTCTCCGCACTACACCTAAGAGGCCAAGATGGGTTAAGGGTTCTATGGTTCGAAGCTTCTCTGGCTCCTAGGTCAAAATTAATAATGTCTTCCCGATTACTCGGAAAACAAATACTACATTCAAAGGGGCTTCCACTGAGTGGGGGATTTCATGCCTCCTTCTTTGGGATTACTCCCTCAAAGTCAACATGACTATACCGCCCTTCCTATTCTTAATTGTACTTAGTCCGGGTATAGGACTTGTCCTTTGTAATCAAGACCCAAATAACCATAATACATCGCATATAATCAAACAAACAAGTAATAATAACAAAAAACAAATATGACAAATTAGGCTTAACCCACTTAGGGATGGACCAACAAGAGGTCAATCTATCCTCAACAGAGCCGCCAATTCTGTAGCGGTGAAAATCGGAGATCAAGTTATTAATTAACTTGACTCACAAATAAGCAAGGGTCGCCACCATGCTTTATTATTTCCAAGGGAAAAAGGAAAAGAGCGAAATAAAACCCTTAAATATGCAATGTAAAGTAGTACCTAAAAGTAATAAGAATACAATGCATTTTTGAAAGAGATCTAGAGTTTGGGGGTTGGTTATGAAATGGGAAGGTATTAGCACCCAATGCATCTGCGGTACTCCGCAGGAATGTTTTGAAATATTTGCTTTTTGGGTTTAAAATTGTTTTTTTGATTAAAATGGTTTGTTTGGTCAAAATGGGTGTGGATGAGATTTTGAAGATGCGACGACCTAATATCTAAGTTTTGACTTAAAAGGGGTATGAGTTTTAAAATTGACTTTTTAGGAAAATTAACTTAACATTAACAAAAATAGTTAAAAAAATAATTTAGATTTGTTAGCTATTTTGATATTTTGATTCGGTGGATTGAAGAAGAGTCGATCTTCATTGAAATTAGTTTGGGCTAGGAGAAAAAAATTATATAATTTGTTTGAAGAATTTTAAATGTATTAATTTGAGTAATCAATTGATAGACGTTAAGCCGGTCACTTGATTATCCGAAAGTATATATCCTAATATTAGTAAAAAATGTTTTTGGCTAATTAGAAGATACCTAAAAATTATGCAAAAGTTAATAGTTTGTTTAACCTAAAATAACCAATCTAATTAACTAAAATAGATAATTAAACTAAATTAATTGATAAAATCTAACATATATCAAAGGAGTGTGAATAGAATTAGGAGGGTGTGAGACTAGTAATAATGTAGAAACTAAAATAAGAAAAGGGCCCAAGTCCAATTATTATAAGGCCTAATTACTATCATAATATTAATGATAAAATACACTGTGAAACTACCTGTAAGGAATGGGCGGCGTAATTCATCCCTTGGTGTTCTACCCATTTATTAACGGTCCAGCAAAAAGAAAGAAAGAAAAATGCAGAGCAAAGATCTACATGCCCAAACGCATTTGTCTTCTTCACTTTCGCAAATCTTTCTCTCTTTCTCATAATATTCTTCATCTTCTGTAAATAAACCCCACAATAACAAACATCATCCAAGTATTTATTGAATCCGAAAACTTACCGGAGCAAGTAACCCGTGACGGTGGAAATCACTCAGGGTAGAGGAGTACGCGACATTTTTGAGAGGTGTTGGATTAGTGATGGTGGCGGTTCGTCAGTGTTTGTGGTGCAGTTATTTTGATTGTAGCTGAGAGCAAAGGGGAGACGACATAGATCTGTTCCCTGACGGTCTCTACGACATCGGTCAGTGGTTGTATGTCGCGGAGTGGTCTTGATCAGAGGAGGCTCGAGGAGGCGGATTATAGATGTTGAGTGTGATGGAGACTAAACGACACCGTTTCTGAGGAAGCACGCCAGTTGGTGAATGTAACGTAGGTTGAACTGAAGGGTGCAAACAAATAAAATGAACGAACTGTGTTGTTGAAGACGCGATGGTGACAAGATCGGATCTAGTCCGACAAGCTTAGATTCTGGTGAAATATTTAACAGGTAAGGTCGCGAACCTAACTTTCCTCTGCTCTCTAATTCCTTTTTCCTTCTTAAAATGGTTCAAAATTATCGGTGTTATCGTCACTGCATAAGTTCTGTAGTTATTGTATAAATTCATGCATTTGCTGCTAACAATCGAAATTGATATTGTTGTTGTTATGCATTGATGTTGTATTTGTTATTGAATACATCTTGGTATTGCTATTAGCGTGAGTGTTTGGTTTGGAAAAAATCTTGGGTCAAACTGTCCTTGAGAACCTGCAGCAATACTACCATGTTGTGGACTGTTATTTTAAAAATAAGTTCTGAGAAGCAATTCTTGAATCCACTGGCAATTGCATAGATGTTGATGGATTGTTGTAGAGAGACAGAAGGGGATGAAAATGAAGCAAGGTTTGGATGTTGCTGTTAAAATTGGTTTTCAGAGGTAGTGTGAAGATTGAAGAATAACAGTAAAATGATATTCTTCCTCTCTGTTTTTTTGTGTTTGTATCATGTGATCTCTTGTATTATTGTGTATCTCCTTTATATTGGAACAAGTGTGGTTTTTTTGGGGGAAAATTGGTGAGTCTTGGACTAATGTGGTATGCTGATTTTGTTACTTTCGCAGGATTTGTGTTGCTTATTTGGTGCAAAGCATGTGCAATTTCAGATGTATATGTACAGGGAAGCAACATGTTTTTGGACTATTATAATGGACTGGTTTACAAGGCTGTTTTGCAGATGATGCAGGGCTGCATAGGGGGTTTATGGGAAGCAGCAATAAGAGCTATTTGTGCAGAATTTTTGGACTCTTTTGCAGGGTACCATTGCAGCAGGGTTTTTGTTGTTTTGTGGGCTGCATTTTGATTGTTTTTGCAGGTTTATAGCAGCTTGGGATTGATTTTGCAGGCTGATATGCTAAGTTTTGGCCTGTTATGTTTGTCTTATGGCTGCAAAAATTATGGACAAGAAGATGTCACAATTTGACTGTTTATTTGGCCATTATGCAGGAGTTGGAATTTGGCAGCAAGTTCTACAAGGTTGTTGAAGGCAATATGTGGAATGGATTTTTGATCAAGAATAAGTCTTAGCTTTAGGTTTATATATTTTGTTTTCTTGTACAAACACTTGTGTAAGATTCTTGTGGTAACTTGTAATTTTGACTTGGGACATGATTGAATGTAACTTGGGCATTTAAACTTGTACAACTTGCAAATGGATGAGACAAAGGTTACTTAGAACTTTGAAGTTATATTTTTTATATGTCTTGAGAATTGAATGAGTTTGAATGATGAATGATGAATAGTAAGGTCTTGAGATTTTGTATTTTGGACACTTGAAATCTACACTTTAAGGAGTAGTGAATGATATTGTATCTTAATAAATTCACATAAATGCTTAAGAATTTTGATCATTTCAAATCTCCATGAACCAATAATCAACTTGTATTTTAAGAAATTCGGTTCACTTGATAAACTTTCACCTCCCTATTTCAATGACAAACCTTGAGTCCCTAACTTTAATTCTCAAAATCCAAATTAACTTGTAATTGGAGTAACAAGTGTTTAAGGTTTCAAAGTTGTATATGATCAAAACCAAACCAGAAGTCACTCTTTTATGCCTTTGCACTTACACTTCAATCCATCATAATCAACCACGTCTTTGACGAAAATTCATCATGACATTAATCGAAATTGGAAGTCAAGAATAATTCTAAATCAAGAAATGACATACAATTCAATAACTTTCAAAATCTTTTAAGCACAAATTTCCCTCAATCCTTGAAGCAAACTTGTAGATGACATTATTTATGATAGCGTGCAAGAAGAATCATCTCAAAATATTGATCATTGAGGAAGTTACAATCCTTGCACTTGATCTTGAAAATGTTGACTTTTTAGTAAAAGATCTTTGAATCAACTGGAAAACTTGATCCTTTCTTGCATTCCCAGACACCTTGATGCATATGTGAATCAAGGATGATAAAATCTTGATTATGCTTTGAGGTTAGAGGTTATGCCTTGATGAATCAGTCTTCAAGAATCAAATATCAACTGTAATTCTGGCTTGAGAGATTTGGAACCCTAATTGAGGCATGACGGCTGATGCTCTTGATTCAGATCTATTTCCTGCAAATGAAATCAAAGAAATGAAAAAAAAAAACACTTCGTGCTTGATTAGAAGTTAGTGATACATAGGCTAAGAGTGTTCCAAATACTTGACAATTTCTTCATAGTCAATGCTCGAAGGTGAGAGGTTAAAACCGACCGTATTTTGTGACCTTGAATTCTGTATAAAAAATGAAAAAATAAAAATGGGATCTTAGGTCAAAATTTGGGGTATGACAGCTGCCCCTATTTAAGTTTCTTCTATTAGGAGATATGAAGATTGAAATCTTCGTTTCGACGAGATTGAAGATACTTAAATATAGAATACACAATTTTTGGCCTTAAGATACCGCAATTGTGTTTATGATATGATATGAATGTAATTTTTTGAATTTTATGAGGAATGATGCCGCATGAGACAAACTAAAGCTGGAGAAACCAAGTACATGATAAAATAATCCACAGGGGAAGAGGTTATAACTCTATTGGAGAAACAGAGCCACAATCTTCAAATGAGAGACTCTTATTGGGGAATAACTTCGAGAAAAAGCAATTTTCTGACTCTAACAAAGAAAATGCCTTGCATAGGCTACGGAAAGATATATGGCTACTGACTCAAGATGATAATAAGTTTACAACTCGGGGTCAAAGGTAGACAAGAAGATACACCAACTTTTACTGATAGAGAACTACTGATTTTTACTAAAGGTAGAGAATTCATAACAAACTTCTCTGCGGGACTTTTCCAGAGAGATACCATTTGCTACTGAAGTAACATATGGTTGTAGATACACAAGCTGCTCAAATAAAGAGGCCGTCACTTTCTGTCTTCAAAAGATATCAATAATACACAAGTTGCTAATGAAGAGTCGCCGCTTGCCGTCTTCAAAAAACAATACGCAAGTTGCTCATGAAGAGACCGCCGCTTGCTGTTTTTTCAAAGGTAACAATAACACACAAGTTGCTCATGAAGAGACCGCCGCTTGCTGTTTTTTCAAAGATAATAATAACACGCAAGTTGCTCATGAAGAGACCGCCACTTACTATTTTTTCAAAGGTAACAATAACACACACGTTTCTCATGAAGAGACCGCCGCTTGCTGTTTTTCAAAGGTATCAATAACATACAAGTTGCTCATGAAGAGACCGTCGCTTGCTGTTTTCCCAAGATAACAATAACACACAAGTTGCTCATGAAGAGACCGCCGCTTGCTGGTTTTTCAAAGATAACAATAACACACAAGTTGCTCATGAAGAGACCGCCGCTTGCTATCTTTAAAGGATATTAATAAACATACAAGCTGCTCATGAAGAGACTGCCACTTGCTGTCTTCAAAGGATATTAAAGCACACAAGCTGCTCATGAAGAGTCCGCCACTTGCTGTCACGTCGATATTCCAAAAGAATGTTGTGATAACACTACTAGGAAATAAAGTTCTTCTTCAATGGGGAACCATGAATAGGTCCTTCCTAAAGAGACCAAGTATTTAAATGTGAAAAATAAATGCACTCTCCATCTAGGTTTCACAACCTAGATAGATCCACGGGGTAGCGTCCGCAAGAGACAAAGCTCAGTCCAGGAATAAATTGGAGAGAAAACAGTCAAACAAGACTCCACCCATTGAGGAAACAAATCAATTAGGGATTTATCCTATCCAGAGATGGAAAAGGAAAGCTAAAGCAAGGTTCTTCCATGAGAGTTAACTCAATGGGAAATTAGAAAGGAGGCGCATTTTCTGCTTAAGTTGACACTCTATTTGGAACGAGAAAATACACTATTTAAATAGACATAACCAAGGTATACGAACCCAATAACATCAACAAATAAGAATATGCGTACATGATGCAAGTGTGAATGAATAAATGAATGTCATGTATATTTTTGACAAAACATATAGAAGAGATAAACTGGAGATGATAAGACATCACAGTATAACCAGATACTCGACTAACCTCAACAAGATGGGAATATTCCTGGAGATAGAACAAAATCCATCAATGGAGAAAAGTCCTTTTACAAGGTTTAAATCTCTTTGGAGAGGAAGATATTTTTTGGTAGAAAACCCAAAGTCCAATCTTCTAACATCAATAATCCATTGAAAGGATAACAACACGAACAATGCTTCAGCTGGAAAAAAGTCTTGCTTAGCTAGAGATACTGGGAACACTACCCTCTGATAATGTGTGTAAAACATATCACATATCTTGACAAATCTGGATTGCCCCTGGAACTAATTTTGGATGCCCCAAGTTTACTGCGGATAAGCTGCATGATGCAGGACAATTCTTGCGAATATCTTCACTTCTAAAATTCCCCAAGCTATATGGTTGATGAGAAGAAATCGTCTCAAGAGGATTTTACAAAATACCTGGCATCCACCATGCTCTAGTGTCTTCAAACTCTTAGAGAGATTCGTCGAATCTCGACGTGATTGCCCTGGATTGACTGTACTTGGCACAACAAAGTCTTCAAATTTCCCCCAAAAGGGTAAACAAGTTGGGAAAGAATTAACTGGGAGAAGCAACATGTCCGTGCTTAAGGTTTTCATGTGACATGCCCCTGGATATGATTTTTCTTGAAATGATTCGCCAATTACTCAATAGAGTTTCAGGCCTTAAAAGAATAAACTCATTTCTAGTGCTTATATGTGAGCTTCCTTGATATCAGACAAATTTTTTACAGTTAGAAAAAAGTTTATTATGAGAATGAAAATTCTAATGCAACATTTATGTAAGTCTTGAAGATTTTGAAAAGATATCGCACAAATTTTGCGAGTTAGAGCACCATTTTTGTATAGCAAAAGCATATGATACCAACATAACTATTTAGCAAACATTCATGGGAGTCAGGAACACTATCTCATTGAAGTATGCTTTCAAAATAACTTTGCTTCAATTAGGACTTTTGAAGGTTGTAACGTGGCCTGATTCATGGTTTTTAGAAAAAAGATTTTTAAGGCTCAAAATTTATAGGTGCCCACCCATTATTCGTGATGTTCTCCAACCCTATGTTCGGTTAATTCAACATGAGTGTTCATCTCTCAAAAGGATTTTTTGACGTTAAGGAAATGACGAGGCTTTCGGAGTAGCAGCCACCCTTATGTCTTCGTGTTTGTAGTCACACCAATTTGTTCTTTGCTGAGGACTTTTCTTTGTATTCCTTTCTTTGCAATTTTTTGTTTTCCCTAACTTTTGCCTGAACTAATTCTTTTGAATTTATAGTCCAGGGGGATGCCCTAATATTTTCCTAAGTCGCACGTTTTCAAGTTTTCGACTTAGCAGGATTTTTCTTTCTTTTTTTTCTTGATTTTTTTGATTTTTGAACAAAACATGTGACATTAGCTTGTTTTTACTTGTTGAGAGGATTGTGACTGCCTCGTTTCTTGATGAATAAGGGATAGCATTGTGGTTCCATATCTTATGGCTTCATTATACATGAAGGATATCCCTCGCAGTTCTCTTCAGAAATATCTTCCTTATGAATTTTGAACACTCAATCAGATTAACTGAAAACTACCCTGCCCCGGGTTAAAATTTGAGGGTTTTTTCGTATAGAAAAGAAACTCCTACTTCAAGGCTAAAAAGGGGTTAGCAAGGGATTATTTTCCTTATATCTCTGGTGTTTAGGGATTTGAAATAATACATGTACATCGTCAGCAGGATTTTATTCAAAAAGCATACAACTAGAGATTTTGTGTTTTTTAGACCATCATCCTCCCTTCAATCTCTGCCTAGGCAAGAGAATGGGAAACAAGTTGG